ATCAGGGGCATCTGGAGTCCATCAATGCTGGCTGACTATTGTTGGACACTGCAACAAGATTCACCAGACACTGTGTGCAAATGCAAACCAGCACCAAAACACTTTGTCCTCTTGAACTTGTGCTAAAATGGAATATGGGGTTTAAAAAGGCATCATACCCATTGCACAAGTATAGTAAAAAAACTATTTTATTATATTGTAGATAGATCGATAGAATAAAATTAACATACACATTTAAAAATCAAGCTAAAAGTCTCCCCCAGAATGTCCTCGTTACACAGCCATTGTACATACATATACCGATTTTAACCCATTTAGATATGCATAATTCATCTTCGATATTCCTAATGATCATCAATATGGTCCGTCTCACTGGCTTGCGTTTCAACGCATTTGTCTGACTCGTTTTGCTACTGCGCTTCCTCTGGGGACCATGGGAAACGAATCCGGCATCTTGTGCCGGGGCGAACAGGGATTCTAGTTGCAAAGGACGAGCATGATGATATATACCCTCCCTCTGATCAAACATGCGGCGGGGACACTGGGATCGAGAAGAATGTATTATTGTTTTGTTTGGAGAATACTGTGCTTTCCACTCCTCAATATCATCAAAAATAGAATGTGTACGATCTTTACAGGTACCTCAGTGTCAGTCAGTGCCATCCGGTCATCACGGCACTGGGAGCTTCAAGCTTCAAGGGGGGGGTGTTTCTATAATAAATCACAAGTTTTTCAGGAAGCAAACATTTAAAAAAAAGGATTTGTTGTCCAGTGCTTTAGGTACTGAAGAAAGTTGCTTTTAGCTTTTGTGATCAAATTGGCTGCAAGTCATAAACGTCATTCCTCTTCATGACTAGTTACATTATATACAAACATTTAAAGGCTTTATAGGACTAGAACCAAATAAGAATTGCATGCTTCGGTGGGTATGCATTTTGTATCATAGAAAGCTATACAAATATAAAGCTGGAAACGCACCTTTGCCTGATGCATTTCCCATTTAAATCAATGGAAATGCACATCAGCTTTTGTTGCCATGCAATGTAAACTGCATTGCAACACCTTTAACTGCACAATGCCAGGTGTGCACTGTGCACAAAAGCAGTGTCTGTTAAGGAATGTAGGTCTTCACAGGACATGGCCTAGCTCTTGGCATATATAAAAGTTACAGCAAAGCAAGCAAATATAATTGAACATTATAGGTTGAAAACCACTAAATGTTGCCCCAAAGCATCACCTAAGTAGGACACAAAAACTAAGGCAGATGTTAAAGCGTTTCTAGAATTCTAGGTGAGAATATTTTCTTACCTGTATAGGTATTTTCCATTGTATGAACATCTGGCAGGAAAGCAGTCCATCCACATTGAATGTTGGCCTGTTAAAATCCAAAGGCCTACTTGCACAAGGGGCCCCTGAGCATGTTATCTGGTGCCATAGCTCTCAACATATGAAGTATCTGTAAACTGATGCTATTCGGATACATTCATTCAAAATCAATGTGGCAATTGCTGGCAGTTGGAACTGAGTGTGCTGGGGTGTTTTACAGATTTTACAGGGAGTAACAAGACTTTCATACTGTGTAAAGGTGCCCATACACCTTACAATTATCTGCAGATATGCTGTGGTCAGATGGAAAAAGTGCAACAGATTGGCCCAGGTGGAGATTACTCCATCCACACAGTTTACCATAGGAGGAATCTGTTGCACCTTTTCCATCTGACCACAGAAAATCTGCAGATAATTGTTAGGTGTATGGCCAGCTTAAACATAAGCTGATATTCGGTTCATGTACAGGTGTAATATATTTTAGCCATGTTCTAAAACCTATGCTTCACTCGGAGGCGTAACTAGAAACCTCAGGGCCCTGGCGCAAGAAACCATGAAGAGCCCCCCAGCAATAAAAAAATTCCAGTGCCTTGGCAGTTACCGGGGTAGTGCATGTGTGTAGTCCCAGGAGGCAGGGCCACCAGTTGAAATCATGGGACCCTATACAGGTTGGGCAGATTATTAATAATTTTTTTTTTTTAACATATCACATTTTTCACATTTTTATTTTATCATTTCTTACTTTATCAATGTTATTTTTCCCACTTGTATTTATTTATTTTTTTTACTACTATTTTATTTAATTTTTTACTTTTAATCAGTTTTTTATTTCACTACTTTTTTATATTATCTTTTACTTTTTTAAAAATTATTTTTTACTTTTTTCCCCCCCACTTAAAACTTTATTGCCATCACACAGGGGATAACAAGCCCCTGTGCAATAGCATTCAGAGGTGACAGACTCTCTTTATGAGCCTACCCTCCAATACCGAAGATACAGCACATTTGTGCTGTATCTTCTGTACAGCTCAGGTTGCAATAGCGGACACAGGAGCGCTGCGAGTACAGCGGTCCTGTGTCACTGATCACGGAGCAGAGCAGAGAACGGAGGTTCTCCGCTCTCCATACTGAACTGCCTTGCCGTGGGCTGGGGTCCCCCAGAAGAGTAGAGGACCCCGAAAACCACGGCACAGAAGGTGGCAGCCGGCGGGGGCGAACAATGGAGGGGGGCCAGACAAGTCACAAGCAGGCTGCATGCAAGTGATTTCAGCAGCTGTATAGCAGAAGACATCACTCGTACAAAACTGCTCCTCTACTTTACATTTAGCCCTGCTTGCCCGAAGCAGGGCTAAATGTAGAGTCACTGACCCAAACCAAGCACAGGCACATGTATGTTCCAGAAGTTTGCATATACTTCTGTTATACGTCAAAATTCTGTATTGTTGACATTGGAAGCACTGGTATTGGCCATTGAGGCACTCTTACTGGTTTGTGTGCCAAGAAAGAGCTGGGGTGGAGTGCCAATGTATGGAAGAGCTTTAAAGGCAGTAACAATCATGGCAAACACATAGGTTTGCGTCAAAAGCAAATGCAAGAGATTCCATGGCATGGTCAAATAAAAAAAACAGGTGAGAAGGGAAACCCCTATAAATTACTATGGAGATGGTTTATTCAGGTTTCATTGCATTTACTGTAATCTTGTCATAAATAATCTATGTTATTTATTGAAAAGGCAAAATGTACAGATTAAAGTTTCAAGGGTGCTTTGTTTTTCTCGATATTTCTGCCATTTTGAGCCTCAAAACCACTCTTAATTGTATAATGTTTGAACTATTTTATTGGTTTATGTTAAAAAATCTGAGGGTTTAATGTCACTTTAAAAAAAAATTGCAAGCAAGTGCGCCATGCTTTATACCAGAAACACCATTTTAGTGTCATTTTTAATGGAACACATTAAACAATAAAATTTCTACTCATTTGTAGTAAAAACCTGGACAAAACAGAATAAAATAAAATATTTTTGTCATTAGACTCCAGTCTTTCCACCCTTAACAAAAACCAATATGTAGTAGGTGCATCTCTCAGCAGACATGCCAGCTTTGAAAACATTTCTGAAACCTGAATAAGTGCAGATAAAAGAAACGGTTTAAAGGTGGATTCAAATTTATTATACAACTTCATATAAAAATATGCTTTGTAATGCAGTTTACAAACATATTAAGAATCAATAATAGTAAACTTTTGTGTGCAAGTTTAACTTGATTGTACATTAAAATATATATTTGAGTTGCACAACCTGAATTTTTTTTGTACTCTAAAAGAACATGCTGACAACCATTCACACAAATGAGGATCATTGTCAGTTTCCATATGCCTTTTATAAGACAATGTCACACTCCAAATGTAACTTTTGCTTACAAATGCTTAATAATCACACTCATAACTAGACACCTGCAGTTGTAAATAACACAAACTAAACAGAACAATGGATTCCCAGAGATGTAATGTATTTTTGACTGTACTGTACATAAACAGTAGTCCTAATGCGGATCACAAACATTTATAATGTGTGCCTAATAGTCCATGTACTACTGTATAAAATGTGAAAGTAGAAGCTACACCTGATATAGCTGTATACAGTTTTTAAATCTCTAAGAGTATAAGGCACAATGATCTAGACAATATTGTACTTGAAAATCCTGCTATATAGGTGAAGATTAAAAGGCAAACTAACCTTTAATGGCGTATGCCTTACAAGATACTCGAGGAAGACTAACTAGTAAGGGTGGTTCACACATGACAGGATTAAAGCAAGCAACAATCCTGAATTTGAGCATTGCTTGGGACTATCAGCCATTTCTGAGCTACTAAAAGGTGATCAGAAGTGGCACTTATGGTCAGAGAGGCATTCTATCACAAAGAATTTCCAAACTGTTGGTTCTTTCTTATGTTTGCAGTAGAATTTTCCATCTAGGTTCCATGTTCCATACTGCACATGGGAGCACCATGTCTTATTGCCTAGGATCTGGTACAAGGGCATCAGATGCAGGATGTCTACTGTTTTACAGCCATCTTGGCTCCAATTAACTGCAGTACATGAACTGGAAGCATGATGAAAAATAGTGACCATAGTAAAGAATGCCAAGATTCACTTAGTTTTACCAGGTCAGTATTTCCCATAATGTACAAGGAGTTTTTAGGCACTGCTGGTTAAACATTTTCATAAATTTACACAATCACAATAAAATCAATATACAAAATGTAACATAAAAAAAGGCCTGAGAATATAGAATTGGAACATTAGCATTAAAGCTGAAAACCCACCAGTCTGCTTGATCCGCTCAAACTTTTAAAACAAGCAAACATAAAAATAATAAAGTTAACGCATATACACATGGCAAGGCTGAAGCTCTTTGAAAACTGCGATACCTTAACGCTGGACTGTAAAATGCAGCACAGAACAGAAAATTAGTAAAATGCTTATGACACGGTTATCTAGGTACAACAAAAAAAAACACACAACATGCAGCAGGAAACAAGTTCTTGCTTATTAGTTTCATAATAAAGTTTGGGATTTGACAATTTAAGTTTTGTTTTTGGATAAAAAAGAATAAAATAAAATGGTTCTTTACTTTACCATCAAATTTATAAAGAAAGTCTGAAACCGTGAAGCCATAATTTATAAGCCTGTGCTTAAATGATAATTTTTCAATTTACAACTGCAGAGTAATGAAAATTGCCTTTGATGTGCATATTTACAAAAGGTGCTTTTCTTACATTTGACTCACAGTGCTTGTCCAGCTTGAAAGGCCACAGATTACACTGGAAGTAGGCAACTATATTTGTAAACACCCAACATATTTAGCAGCACTGTACAGCAATACATTCAGATGAAGATCCACTCCGCTGATGTATAAATGTAAGCCTGAAGTAAACTTTTGTTTTTTTTCTCCCGAGACAGTAATGACTTTCTAGAGCACATTCGAATGAAAAAGTCTATATGTACTGCATATAAAGGCTCTACATCTGGAAAAAAGTTCATAAAATCTGATACATTTTTTAGAGATTGCCACCATACCAGCATAGTAGGAACAGTCAATGAAAATATTTCTTGCCCAAATTCCAAAATTTAGCTTGGCACAGGACCAATATCCACTGTTATTTTTGTGTATAAGGGATGCTTTTCAGTCTTGAGTACTTTGTAGGTGAGAGAATTTATACCATCTGAATTCATGGTTTGTCTTGTATGTGCAATCAGATCAAACCTGAAAAAGAAGTACACATCGCAATGAGGATGACACAATTCACAATGTGTATTTGCAAAAATTAGTAAATATCATGTAATCTTGTTTGCCAGATTTGGGTTTCCCAATCCAGAAGGATTTTCCATAACCCTGATAGGTTAAATCGTTTATTTTATTTAAGATTCAGCCCAATTTGGCTTACATTTTGACCTACATGTACTGGTTTACTCATGAGGTTTAAAAGCAAATGTAAATCTCCATTACACAAAGCAGTATATTTACTGAGGTTCTGATCCAGGTTTTTTTACTATATACAATATTTAATGACCGATATCCAACACCAACTAGTACGGCAAGATACACGTTTCCTTACAGATAATTGGTTGTACAATGATTAAATGGTCCCTGTAAAGGCGCCCACACACCGTACGATATTAGTGGGAAATCACACAATCGTACGATTATCGCAAGGTGTGTGGAAGTCGTGCGACCGTTTCTACTGTACGGTTCACAACTTTTATCTTAGGAACATGTTCGAAAACCGGCCGAGAATTGTACGATTGTCGGCAGGTTTGTTGCATGTCCGTGAGATAAATGCAGCACGGGGCGGTGTGCGCAAGCGCACACTGCCTATTCAGCATTGCGGTCATCAGAAGCACGATCTGCCTGTCCAAGATGGGCAGATCGTATGTTTTTTTAATTACCTTACAACCGTCGCATGACAAAAGTCTTGCTATGGTTGTAAGGTCTGTGGCCAGCTTAACTCGACATCAGTCTTGGGAAGGATTTTTAACTCCATCTCCCAGAATTGCTTTAGTTCAGATAAGCTGGTAGTTTTTGAGCAGAAATGGCTCAATCAGATTTAAAAACAGCATGTTTACTGGGTTTAGTACTGTACTTCAATGGTCTGCATTTGGTCCTGATCTATGCCTTCACTCCTCTGAAACACCTTCATTTATGCTGAAGGATATGGATGGAGGGCATTCTGGTGATTCTCATAGCACCCAACTGGCCCAATAGGATGTGGTACCCTGACCTCATCAAACTACTGGCAGACACACCATGGGACCTTCCAGATTGTCTGATCTCCTGTCCAAAGGATCGGTTTAACTCTGTTTCACGGCCACTCATCTAAATGGTGTGGCTGTTGAAGCCCAGGTCTTAAGGTAAAGGGGTCTCTCTGAACTAAAAATTCCCACAAAATTAAAAGCTAGGAATTCTACCTCTTGTAAGGTCTACCATAGCACCTGGAAGGCGTACTTCATACACACAAAAACAAAAAAAGTATTTAACCCCTGGAAAGACGCTACGGGAAGAATGGCGACTTTTCTGCAGTTAGGCTTGAAATTGGCATTAGGTCGAGAGTACCATCAAGGGCCAAATCTTGGCTCTTGATTGGTTAAAGACTTTTCTGCAGAGTGTTTCTTGTGTAGCGCCTCCTTTACAGCTCCCTGAAACGCGATGGGATTTAAATTTGGTTCTATCGGCTCATTAAAAATTGCCGTTTGAACCCATTAGGGATATTTCCTTAACCACTCACAACGTTCATTCCTTTAAATTATATAACATAATTTGCAGTGCTTATACCATCATAACCTCTATACATATTAAAATATTAACCTGCATCAGTTATAATTTATGCACAGCACTGCAAAACATGTATATGTTAAAGTGCATATCAAAAAGAAAAATATATATCTTTAGGGAAAGTGTTACATAAATCGTGATCGTCTCCTTACTCCAAACTATGTGTCCAACTTTCTCAGAGAACAGTGCTCTTGTGTAACAATAAGGAAACGCACTAACCAGTTTTATTAAAGCCTCCGTTTTTTTTTGCATAGATCTACTGCTGGCAAGCAGTAGATCTATGAAAAAACAAAAAAAAAAAACCTGCTTTAACAGGGGTTAATACTCACCCTTGTCTTCCCTGCACGCTCCCATCAGAAAATGTGAAGCTTCTCGGGCGGCCGCAAAGCATCTTGGGGCGGGCACATGCGCAGTTCATGCGTCCGGGACGTGAGGAGAGACACAAGGTAAGCCTATGGACGCGTGCACTCGCATGCAGACACCTTGTGGGACAGGAAGTGCCAGCAAGCTCAGAGGAGTCAGCGCTGGATCGGAGACCAGCCGCAGCGCTGGAGGGACAGAGGAAAACGACAGCAAAAGAAGAAGATCGGATTAAGTAACATAATTTAATGTAAGTGCATTGGGGGAAGGGAAAATAAAAGGAAAATAAAAATTTACTTTAATGTCACTTTAACTTTCCATCAGAAAAAGGTAAAAAAGCTCAATCAAATCAATAATCCCTTTGGTTCTCCACAATTCCTTCTTTACATTATAACCAGTTAAAAAGTTTCAACACTTCTTCTTTTCTCATCAGGTGAATAAGATCTCAAAACCTTAGAAAATGTAAACAATTTGAAGAAACTTGCCAGGTCGTGCAATAACCAATAGATTATTCATTCAAGTTGTTATAGTGCTGTGTCATTTTATTAAACTGATTTATACTATATAAAGTTTACTTTGCATAATTTATCGGGAATTGCTACAGGAGATTGTATCCACCTGGTGAGATCAGAAGGTAAAGTGGTGAAATGTTGTTATTACCTGGTTATAATGTAAAGGAGGACTTGTGGAGAACCAAAAGGATCTTTGCTTGAGCTTTTTTTTTTCTTGAATATAATAAAACTAGTGAAAATGTTTTCAATTTGCTACACAAGTGTATTGATCTGGATCAGTGATTATTATTTAAGAGAATTTCACTAAATATTTTTTTTCATGTACTTTATTATATACATGTTTATACAATATATTGACATTTTAGCAACACACTATATAGAAGGTATGATAGTATATGCTCTGCAGATTGTTATTTTTGCTGTTGATGAATTGCCTCATACACTTGTTTACCAAGGTGGTTTTAGCATTCCCCTTCAAATCAGGACATTGTCCTTCCGTGTCCGGTGTATCAAAAAAGAAATTTCCCTTCACTGCCTGGATTTAATTTACACTGTATAGGTTTATCTATCAGCCACTGCTTCCATCAGAAAGACTGACTGCTTTGCCATTGTGGACAGTCCCTGTAAAATACAAAATGTAGCTTCTTGTTCCACCATTTCTCGGTGGCTCAGACAAATAAGTGCTTTTTGGGCTTTAAGGCATCAGGCAGCCATTTGGAAGATTAGGCAAGGACTGCCAGCTCGATCTCTGTTCATATGGTCTCTATGTTTTACCCAGCGAATATTGAAGATCTGATGCAGGCTTTGGGCCTGAGGGCCTTCAGACAGCTCCCTATTCTCATTGTTATGTGGGGTTGTTAGCGGTTTGCTTGCCAAGTTGCCGATCCCTCAGTTCGACGGCTTTTCAACGTCCCAATCTTATCAGAACAACATGCGTCCCTTAATGAACAAAAAAAAAAGAAAATAGGAATTTTGTACTTACCGCAGAATTCATTTCTTGAAGTTCATTAAGGGACATAGGTCCTAACCCCCTATGTGATCTACTCTAAGCTCTGATCTTCTACAAAAGTGAAGCATTCTGGGAGTGGGAGGGATTATACCTGGCAACAGCTTTTTTGTTTGCTGGTCTTTAAATTATCTTGTAGGAAGGAGGAGGTATAACCCAAACCGATTTTACAGTAAGTACTAAAATCCTGTATTTGCTTCTATTTGCTTCGGGCTTTCGACGACTGCAATGCTGAACGGGCAGTGTGCGCTTGCACACGGGCCCGTGCGGCATTTATCTTACAACCATGCCACACACCCGCCGACAATCGTACGATTCTCGGCGGGTTTTCAAACATGTTCCTAAGATAAAAGTCGTGCAACCGTACAGTAGAAACGGTTGCACGCCTTACGCACACCTTGCGATAATCGTACGATCGGGGGATTTCCCGTGATTATCGAACGATTATCGCAAGGTGTGTGGGCACCTTAAGCATGTTGAATTGATTTGCTGGTTGAAATAATGCTCGACTTTGGACAGTAAGCCCTCGTTCACACCTAGGCGTATTGCAAAAGCGCGTCTGTCGCGCGGTTTTTTACCGCGATTCGCGGTAAAAAAGCCGCACGACCGTCGCGCGATTCCGAAGGCTACTTGGCTGTATTCCAATGGAAAACGCCCTACAAAACGGCCCAAAGTAGTACCTGTACCTATTCAGGCGTGGGCCGTTTTGTAGCACGTTCGGGACGGGCGGAAATACGGCAAGGTGGGAACGAGTCCATTGACTCCAATGCAATTTATATTTTTGAGCGTTTTGTAGAGCGTTCTTCGAGCGTAGAACGCGCTACAAAACGTTCAGGTGTGAACGAGGGCTTTTACGTTTTCCATGTATAAGTCACAGGTGGCAACCTATCACGGTACCACGCTTGAATTCACAAAGATCCAGAGAGCGACCCATTCTTTCACAAATGTTTGTAGAAGCAGTCTGCATGCCTAGGTGCTTGGTTCTATACACCTGTGGCCATGCAGGTTAATGTGAACACCTGAATTAAAATGATTTGGAGGGGTGTCCCAATACTTTTGGCAATATAGTGCATTTAAATCAGAATTTATTTTAGGCTCTTGTAATCTCTACAAACAGAGAGAAAGGCCAATAAGGTAACCTCCATTCACATGTGCTGACAAAAAACATTTTTACAAGAGAAGAGAGATGTCATCAGCCTGTTCCAGCTTCTTCACCACCTGGGTGTAAGGAAGGTGCATTGCTTTAAGATAGATCAAACTGAACTTTGAAAGCAGAGGAGAAAGCACTAGGACTAGTCACCAGTATTGATCAGCATGTGGTCTTTGATCTTTCCACCATTCATGACTTGCCTTGCTCAATTACACTGTGCCGCCAAATATTCTCAGACTAGTATTTAAAGTCAGCAGCGTGTGATATGAATCTCACTGTAGATATACAGCTATGAGCCTGTAGGCACAGGAGTGCCTAAGCTTACTCACATACCAAGAAGTGCACAGTTGTTAAATGTGCTCAAGCAGTACCCTAAAGGTGCCCATATATAATTCTCGGCGGGTTAGTGGCATGCCTGTTCGACAACTGCCTAATGGGCCGGTGTGCGCACGCGCACACTGCCCGTTCAGCATTGCAGTAATCGGATCGTAAGATCTGCCTGTCCATGATGGGCAGATCGTACGTTTTTTAAATTACTTTACAACTTTCGCAAGACAAAAGTCTTGAAAAGGGTTGTAAAGTGTATGGCCACCTTAAGAAATATTTCTAGATGTCGCCAAAAACATGGCAAATCTTCACTTTTTGAGTTAAGGTCCACTTTAACCGAGGTACAGAAAGTCAGGTCCCAACTGTATGGAAAGATCAGTTTTATTTAAACTGTATTTTTAGCTTTAAAGCTGCCTACCCTTGCCTTAAAGACTGTTAATTTGCCCTGAATAGGCCAAGTTGCAGAAAGTCTCTTACAAGCCCACACACTTATTTTCACTTTCCCAGTGCTCCTCAACGACTGTTGTGTGTTGGATTTTGTCAGAGCTTACACCGGGTTGATGACATTGTTCCTAGTAATTGGGGGTTTTACGAATTACAAAGGATATCCATTTCAGTATAACTGATCAAGTACTAAAGTGGTCCGCTGATCGCTCTAAATGGAATTATGCTGTTACATTTCGTCACAGTGGATTATACTGGAAATGGTTAGTGACAGGTTATGTGTTTTTCACACAGCGCCAGCTGGTACTAGAACATTGTTCATGCAATGAAAACTTTACCCAGGTGCAAAAGTAAGTATATAATAAACCACTTAAGGTTTGGTTAAGGAGGGGGCGGGGGGGAGGAGCAGGACTGGGCTTCATGTCTGGTTTTTACATCTATCTGGTGCGCCATTCGTTTTTCCCTCACTTAATGTCACAGTGACATTTTCACACTAAACAGCATGAATAAACAAATCTGCTAGCCTATTGTGTGAATATACCTGAACTGACTCCTTTGATTTTCTGATGGAAGGATGCAGGACAGAATGCTGTCGCACAGTGTATGGCCTGCTTAAGGTCTCGTTCACACCTAGGTGTATTGCATATGCGCGACCGTCGTGCGTTTTACCGCGATTCGTTTACGAAGGCTACTAGGCTGTATCCCAATGGAAACGCGCAACAAAACAATTACATCTCTCTACAAACGTTTACTACATACTATTCCTTTACTCCAGAATTAATTTTATAACAAGCCCCCCATGAGCTCCAATTTTGGAAAGGTTAATATTTTTAAGGATCAAAACACTTCTGTTATCGATCTTTAAATCCAATGATCTAATGCGCTAATAACACACTCTCTACTGACGAATACTGAATGACTGAACATTTGCGTCTTCATAGGATGTAAGCTAATGCAATAAAAACAGTGAAATGAAAATCAGAGATGTCATAAAAATGTAATTGATGAATGCAAATCTTTTCCAGAAAGGACATTTCTAAAGATAAATGGTTTACTTTTAGATTGAAGTGCACAAATAAATGTAGGTAACCAGAAAGTTAATATACCGACTTTTCTACACGCATTCATCAATGTTTACTGACTATTCAGATTAATCTAAGGGCAACAAGGGACGAGTTATACAGTTACATGCTAAATTCCTGCTTTGTTAAACATTTGCTATACAGGTGAAACTAAAATAATTAGAATATCGTGCAAAAGTTAATTTGTTTCACTAATGCAACTTAAAAGGTGAAACTAATATACGAGAGACTCATTACATGCAAAGCAAGATAGTTCAAGCCGTGATTTGTCATAATTGTGATGATTATGGCTTACAGCTCATGAAAACACCAAATCCACAATATCAGAAAATTAGATTTCCATGCCACGCCGCATTGAGGCAGTAATTGCTGCAAAAGGGGCCCAAACCAAGCACTGAGTACATATGCATGCTTGTACTTTTCAGAGGTGCGATATTGTTATATGTACAATCCTTGTTTTATTGCTTGCATGTAATATTCTTATTTTCTGAGATTGTGGATTTGGGGTTTTCATGAGCTGCAAGCCATAATCATCACAATTATGACAAATCACGGCTTGAACTATCTTGCTTTGCATGTAATGAGTCTATCTCATATATTAGTTTCACCTTTTAAGTTGCATTAGTGAAATAAATGAACTTTTGCACAATATTCCAATTTGAGTTTAGCCTGTATATATATATTTTTTTTTTTTAAAGTAAATTTAGATGATCATTTTTAAGAAATTAGTTTCTATAAATGTCAAGTAGATCGCAAATAAAAGGCACACGTTTGTGAGTTCAACCACATATTATTCAAAGGAACCTTCTCAAAACTCATGACTCTTCTGCTTCAAGCGGAATCCCAGGCAAATGATTTGTAGCCCCCTTACCTTTTTAGATTATTGCACCAAAATCTCAGGTCCAATCTAGATAAGGGCTCATCTACACCAAGTGCGTTGATCAACGCAGGCTCAAAACAAGGACACAGCAAAAATAATTGCCATCTATATGCCCCATTCACATTGCACTAGTGTGATGATGTGCATTAAGGTGAAATGTAGGCATGCTGCATTTTTATGCAACACACACATCTCAACGTACATCAACTCAACACAGTTCAGCGCATCTAGCAAACTTTTTGAAAAAAGTTAGTAATTTGAATCTTGATGTGGCCTGTACAGAAAAAAAAGCACATTTATAAAACAGTGCGGAATGCAGTTAAAAATACAGCAAAATGTGTTAAACACATGTCATTGTACTTTAAACGTGCATCAACGCGCATGCATTTTCATGTGTAGTTACTAACCCCAATAAAATCATGCAGATTCTGCCACCACAGGGGATGCTAGGCACCAATGGGCTAAAGAGGCTTTATCAAATGGCTTTAATTAGAGGAGTTGTTTGACAGTTTGTTTGGTAAGCTCACTTTGTAGGAGCAAATGCTAGGGTTGGGAGTTCGACCATGTAATACATACATACTTAAACTAGAGCAGCATACTACCTCTGCATCATACCTACTGAGTGTTGCACAGAAAATCTCTCCTGGCAACTAGGTCCCCAGCTTAAGCCTCAAATGATATCTCCTTCTAGGCTCCACACAACTACTGAAATAGCAAGAAGACCTCTGGAATGCATGTACTAGGGTTTCCCTCCTAATCTATTTAAAGGAGAACTATGAGGTGAGTGAAAATCACTCAGCCTCATAACTCGAGCCGACGCGTGACAATGAAACTGTCACACGTCTTCTCAATTGATCGGGGAGTGACATACCATCGCTCGCTCACTTCTCGATCCTGTCCCTGCAGAGAGCTGTAGCTCGCGGTATACTGAGCTTTGGGTCATGGGAGGATGCTAGTTTTTGTCCTCCTGTGACCCTTAGGAGAACTATGGGGAAAAGCACTGACCCCATAGTTCTCCTTTATGAGTTTTATTCTGATGCCTTGAATGTCTTAAAAACAAAAAAAAAAACCACAACACACCACAATGGTGCTATACACTTTTCTGTGTAAACAGTAGGGAAAATGTCAGTCATTAAGATGGATTGCTTTGCCAAAAACAATTAACCCTTTCGCTGTTAAATCTTATAATAAAAATTAGACACAGATTTATAATTATAATATATTCTATTTGTGTAACTAATGGACATGGTGTAACACCTTCCTTAAAGTGTCTAAAACCCAATTAAAGAAAAATTATGATCATATCCATTACCTTCCATTGTCATCCTTGTATCCTCTAATAGCAGCATCAGGCAGCACATCCCAAAACATTTTATAATCTGCCCCAACTTCCTTTTTGAAGGTGGCTACATTCCATTTATATGGTACCACTGTATGTGGGAATGTAGCAACCCTCCTGGGACTGCTCCTAAGATGGACTACAGTAGTACATGCCGACGCAGGCAGCGCTGCCACATAAAAGCACAGAAAACCGCCTTTTCATTAACCAGTATTAATGAATACAAATAAATCTGCATTCACATTAAAATCAGCAGGTGCAGAGGTTCCTAGGATTTGTAGATCTCAGAGCAATGCGTGTGACCGTATTATACATGCATTGTTTGTAACCACAGAAAGGAATGAAGGGAGATTAGCAGTGGGTATCTCGAGGAGACACCGATAATTAGGAAAAAAAAACAATGTGCAGATTAAAATAATGTGGTCATATATAGGGCATTATGCTGGATGCTATTTTTTTTTTTTTTTACTGCAAGCAAATCAAATTTTAATCCCACATTATATCAAATTATCTAGCCAGTGAACTTTTAACAAATAGATTATATGCAAGACATTTATATAAAAAAACACTATACCTTTTTGGGTTTGGTTCATTTTTTTCATCTCGTTCATGACGGATCATTTTGCATTTTCCTGTAACAGCATCTGGGCGAGAGATTGACATGCCCCTAGACACAATTCTAAATAAAAAAAGTGAAAACTATTAAAAATTGCAAAATAAATGTAATAAAGTCTAAAAGAAAAGAACACAAGCATTAGTTTCATTATGGTCTTCCTTTGGCTCCACTGAAACATATATACTGTACATACACACAGTACTGTGCAAAAGTACACAGGTTTTAGGCAGGTGGAAAAAATGCTGTAAAGTAAGAATGCTTTCAAAAATATATATTTTTATTGTTTTTATTAAATTTAGAAAATGCAAAGTGAGTGAAAAGAAGAAAAATCTAAAATCAAACCAATATTTGGTGTGCCTACCCATTGGCTTCAAACCAGCATCAATTCTAAGGCCTGGTTCACACCTGGGCGTTTTACAGGGCTGTTCGACACGCTGTAAAACGCCCAGCAAGTGATATCCCATTATTTCCTATGGGCATGGTTCCCACCTGGGCGTATTTCAGCGCGTAGGAACGCGCTGAAAAACGCCCTATGCCCAGGAGCACAGGTACAGGAGCTTCTTTGGGGCGTATTTCCACACGTATCCATTAGGATACAGCCGGATAGCCCTAGTAAACGCACGTTTTTCACGCGTTTCGTTGACCGCAAAGCGTGGTAAAAACACATGGCCCGAAACGCGCGTCCAACGCGCATATTACGAGCGCCCAAGTGTGAACCCAGCCTTACACTTGCAGAAAGTCAGGTGTATGATTAACCAATTATACCAAGTAGGTGCGAACGATCATCAATTTCATAGGTAGGTTGAAACACAGTCATCAACTGAAACAAACCACTGTGTAGGAGGCTTAAAACTGGGTGGGAAACAGCCAAACTCTGCTACTAAGGTAAGGGTTGTGAAAAACAGTTTCATGGTACAGGTCATACAACATGGCAAGACTGAGCATAGTAACAAGACACAAGGTAGTTCTACTACATTAGCACGGTCTCTCCCAGGCAAAAATGTAAAAGCCGACTGGGGTTTCAAGATGTGCTGTTCAAGCTCTTTTGAAGAAGCACAAAGAAATGGGCAACTTTGAGGAACACAGTGGTCGGCCAAGTGAACTTAATGCAGCAGATGAAAGACACATCACGTTTACTTCCCTTCGACATCGGAAGATGTCCAACAGTGCCATCTGCACCGAAATGGGAGAAGCCAGTGGGACCCAGGTAAACCCATGCACTGTCCGGAGAAGTCTGGCCAGATGTGATCTTTATGGATGAATTTGCGGCCAAAAAGCCATAACGTTGTTTGGAAACAAGGCTAAGCGACTCAACTATGCATGAAAACATAGGAACTGGGGTACAGAAAAATGGCAGAAGGTGCTCTGGACTCATGAGTCAAAATCTGGAATATTTGGCTGTAGCAGGAGGCAGTTTCTTCACTGAACAGCTGGAGAGAGGTACAAGGGTCTGCAGCATTAGTGACGCATGGTTGAGGTTCCTTGCAAATCTGGGGCTACGTTTCTGCCAATGGAGTTGGAGATTTGGTCACGATCAATGGTGTCCTTAATGCTGAGAAATACAAGCAGATACTTATCCATCCTGCCATATTATCAGGGAGGCGTGTGATTGGCCCCACAGGTATTCTGCAGCAGGACAACGACCCCAAACATACAGCCAAAGTCATTAAGAACCATCTTCAGCGTAAAGAACAGAGTCCTGGAAGTGATGGTTTGGCCCCCACAGAGTCCTGATCTTAACATCGAGTCTGTCTGGGATTACATGGAGACAGAAGGATTTGAGGCTGACTACAACCAAAGAAGATCAGTGGTTAGTTCTCCAAGATGTTTGGAACCACCCACCTGACAAGTTCCTTCAAAAACTGTGTGCAAGTGTACCTAGAAGAATTGATGCTGGTCTTGAATGGCAAAGGGTGGTCATACTAAATATTGATTTAGATTTCTCTTATGTACATTTCATTTCCATTTTGTTCATTGATAAAAAAAAAAAGAAAAAAAAAAAACGTATTTATTTCTGAAAGCATTCTTACTTTACAGCATTTTTTCACACCTGCCTAAAACGTTTGCACCGTACTGTATACATATCAAATAGCACAAGATTACAGCACTCAAATCTACTTTAATAGTGACATCAAGTTGATAGCGTTCCAAACAAATAGCTATAATTAGGTTTATATCATATCATACTTACAACAAAACAAAAATGAGAAACATTCCATCAGATATCAAAATTATACGCAGAAATTCCTATAAAAACAGATACAAAATCAATCTCTGCATTTAACCCCCAAGGTTAAAGGGCACTTGTTGTACACATTGTAACCCTGTGGTATCAGACTGGATTACACACCTTTTATGTACGCAATAAAAGTTATCAATTACTTAGTTTCCCATTCCCAGTATGCTAAAAATGTGCAATGAATGGTTGCGGATGTGGGCTTAAAACTAACCATCATTAGTAACACTTATTGACTTGAATGTATTCACTAATAAAGGAAATTTGAGGAAGGCTGCCCATTGCTGTGCATCATCTGCATAAAAGGGTTACAGTTATCAAAAAATAAATTCAGAAACTGCTGTGCCTGGAGAATTTTCTGTGCAACAACATTCTAAAAATAGTCAAACCAATTACACTACGGATGATCACCAAGTTCAGTACAGATAATGTGTAACAGTTTATCCAAAAAATCAAAATCTTTGATAAAATCTAATAAAGCTGAAGTCTGGGCCAATGAGCCCCAACAAAACTTGACCCCCCCCCACTGGACAATTGCCTAGCGACAAAAAAAAAACCCTAAATTGAACGGCACAAATAACCAAATCCAAGTTTACATGACACCTTGGTCCAGTCTACTCCAGACTGCAGAGTGAAAGGGTCATTATTTGGGTGCCCAAAACACTTACCTGAATCTGTGGCCACGTGACATGCTGGGTGCCAAGTCTTCTCTGCTCTGGACTAAAGAGTGGAAGGGTCCTTCTTTGGGTACCCACAATGGATCAAAAAAGGACCACCTGAATTCCCTCTATCGCAATCCTGTGTAGCAGGTGAGGAATAAGTAACGTAGAGATCAGAATATGTTGATCCCATGGAGCCTCCACTGCAAATGCCAGAGGATCCATGCACCTGGATTCAAACCTGTCTAGCTTGCTGCACTGTCCAATTGAATCCAGAGTGGATGGCCCTCCATTAGGCCTCGTTCACACCTGAACGTTTTGTAGCGCGTTCCACGCTTGACGAACGCTCAAAAATATAAATCCATTTGTATTCAATGGTCTCGTTCCCACCATGGCGTATTTCCGCCCGTCCCTAACACGCTACAAAGCGGCCCACGCCTGAAAAGTTACAGGTACTACTTTGGGCCATTTTGTTGCGCGTTTCCATTGGGATACAGTCAAGTAGCCTTCGGAAACGCGCGTTTGCCGCGGTAAAAAAAAACGTGCGACAGACGTGCATATGCAATACGCCTAGGTGTGAACGAGACCTTAGGTTGGTCCAACACTGAAGCAAAATCAAACTGCCCAAACCTGCAAGATGTTAAATCAGGAGACAAGATTCCTTCAAAGACAAATTCTCCTCCACTGAAAAGGTGCCTAGGACTGCCCACAGCCCAACAAACTGGCAGCTGTCCTGAGAAACTAGCAAAAGATGGGTCAAGTCCTTTCTGCCTAACTCCAGGACTGGATTCCTGAGCCACCAAGCCAGGGATAGCCTGGTCCTTGGCATTAACTGGATTAGCCCCTTGCCAGAGCCAGGACTAATTTGTTCAATGTTTACAGAACATTGTGTTGCAGAGGTCTAGAGTGACATTGGGCAATGGAAACTGCCATAAAGATGAACAAAATTGGGCAAAGGACTACCATATCAGCTGCAAGACTCATGCAAAAGCAGAGTCAGGCAGCTTTTAAAATGACACGTTTGTAGTGGAGACTAGAGTCTGAAGCTTTCCAGGGGAAGGCACACTATGACCCGAGACATGTTCAGGACCAGGCCCAGATACTCCAAGTAATAAGTCAGTTCCAGTGGCAATCTCTAAAAGGTATATAAGGTATGCATCTTGAAGGTTTAGGGTGCCTTTAAAAAATAGAAATACATATCATACCGATTGTATATATCATCATCTTCTCCACCCCATCCCCAGAATTTGTTTGGAAATCCATTTATTCTTTGAAACTGTTCTTTACTTAAAGCAGACACCCCTCCAAAATACTGGTGGTATGGTAACCTGGATCAGACAAAAAAAAAAAAAAAGTTACATATGTGGAGAGATAGATAGATAAATATATCAGGATGTTTAGAAATAAGTGTGCTAATATTTCAATGATTCAAAATCACTGTTGTCATTGAAGACATAGTAAATACAAATATACACAAATTATATGTTGTAGGCCTCTCTAAAGAGCCAAAAAAATGAAGGGCCCCTTAATACCACTGTGTTGTGTTAACACGCATTGCATTAAGGCAGTACACCACTGTAACACAGTGTACTATAACACATGGTCGGTTGTCAAAGTGCTTTGGGGGTGTAATTTAGAGCGAATGGCACTTCAGTACTAATGCGCTTTACCATGCAATGCTATGAATGTGCCCCAAAAGCGAGTTCCCCTCATACAATTTTTTAAAAGGAAAAATGGAATAGAATTTTAAAACAGAATATGCTTATGATCTGCCACTGTAAATGTCATGTGCCTAACATACAGATGTGGGCAAATTTGTTGGTACCCTTCCACAAGTCACATTTTTCTCTGAAATAACTTAAAACTGACATAAGTAATTAGCATCAATCATTGCTAATTCAATATTATTTTTATGTTTGAGTCACCAGAACATATTAAAACAAATGAAAATGGCATGAACAAAAATGATGGGACACAACCTAATATTTTGTTACACAAGAATCAGTCACTGCAAACATGAGATTTCTGCAGCACTCAATGGAGACTTCTCACCTGCCAAAAAGTAGTTTGGCCCACTCGTCTTAAGCAAACTGCTTAAAGAGGAACTTTACCCTCATCTTTAAAATGGCAACAAAGGCATCTACAGAAAATGTTTAGTAATAGCAATCTACAATTATATTACATCAAATTTTATTCTTTGCATACTTTATATTTCTTTTCTTCCCCATTCTTCTCACAGTGGACATTTTTAGTAAGGGCAGATTAATCCATCTCCCTTTACTTTCTGGAACTCTGGCACACGCGACTAGGACATGTGACCATGCACATCAGGTGAAGAAATGCATTTCCCAGAGATCACGTGAGATTTTACAGTTCACAGATGATTCCCAGCAGTGCACAGATGTAACCTTCACAGCATGCAGCTGTTAGGCATGGGCTGCATCACTAATGCCTAAGAGGACCAGGAAGTAGAAAAACAGTAATTGTAAGAAAAATATTTGTTTATTGAACTAACACAAGATTTTTCAGATCAGAATGCAGAGCTGCATGTTGATGTGATTTTTAGTGAAAAACCTTTAAGTTGTCTCAGGTTTGAAGGGTGCCTTATCCAAACTACATATTTGAGCTCTTTCTGATTGGTTGCTGTCACTGTTTGCCCGAACATTCTTCGACCAGCTTCTTCAATTTTATGATCGAAGGAAGCTGGACAGAACGGTGTCGATAGGGTCACCCACTAAACGAATTTCAGCCGGTTCATCAAAAGCCAGCTGAAATTCGCACAGCTCATGGCCAGCTTTAGATACATAAGGACTCCCCAAAATTGCTAACTATCCATGTACGTTTTTTTTCTTTACACAATCTATAACAAAATATATTAAACGTTCCACACTAAAACAGTGTATACTAACTGTATAGGACACCTATAATACAAAAAAAGAAAAACTTCAGTTTTGCATAATGTGATATTGTACAGAATGTTCTAAAAATGATTAAAAAAAAAACTTACCCGAACCCAAACTTATCCATTGAAACAGAGAGGTGTCTGGGTTGACTGTAGCACTTGTAGATATTCTTATCATCCATTGGAATAAGATCAACATCACTGAAGACAAAGCAGTTATAATCATATTCTTTCAAAGCCTCAACAAAGCCAATGTTCAGTAACTTAGCACGGTTAAATGTAGAATCACCATCCTTGAAGGGTGGAAAGAAATAGAGTATAAGCACACTTGCATTATAGTTTAGTATAGTAACTTGCATTTCTGGTTGTCACACATTCAAACAAAAAACATTTAAGAAACACTGTGCTAGCATCATGGGGAAACTCACATCTGTAAGCAGTCATATTTGTGATTATAAAATATGATGCTTGAACCACAACTAAAGAACAAAAAAAAAAGAAAAGGGGAGCAGCAAGCCAGCTTTTACCATCAGTTCTTGTCCAGATTATTAACGCATACACCCACATTTTGTCATTCAGTTTTGGATAGTGGCAAAGAGTTATAATTTGTCAGGTTTTTATTTTTGTCTTTTACCCAACTGGGTAGATTTTCCCACACTGTTCATATAATGTATGTATGGATGTAAAAATGGTGTGCAGTTGTCACCATGACAGAAAAGCACAGGCAGCAATAAACCATAGTAAAATGTTCCATTTCTTTCCTACATAAAATGTGCTTCTGTATGCTTTTCATTCAGGATTCTCCCTTACTTCCTGCTCTGCAGAATCTCCTAGGAAGCAGATTTCCACTTTCCCAGGCAAATTTGAGAAAATGGAATTACCCCCACCAATCTGCCCCTATAAAACCCCGCCCCACCATTTTTATTTAAGAGCAAAACAGTCATTCCCCTCCACAGCTGCTGTTTGACCCATACACAGCACCACATCCCTACGCTCTGTACTCTAATTAAACCTGTCTGTACTGTGTTGGCAGATCTCATTATCAGTTGTCAACTAGATTTGAATACGGTCTTATCCTAACAGAGGGTTAAAGACTTAGAAGCATTATAGGTTAAAAAGAATTTCCCTCCATTTTCACTTTTATGCTCAGAGTAGCCTGGACTCTAATCTCCACCAAAGAAAAAGCCAAAGGAAAAGCTAAAAGATAGCATACCTAAAGAATTCCCATTGTGTGAATGGGAACAAAAACATGTAGTGGGGTTCTCAAATTTGACTGCAAATGTGGAAATAAACTTTAAAGCCACATTTCACTTAACATCCGTGTGCGCACATGCAGCCCACTGAGGCTTTTTTTGGAAAGTATAATATTTTGTAGGGCATTTGCCAGCAAGTATAATCTTTTTCTTGTTCATTAAGGGACACAGGAATGTAGTAATTCTTAGACATTTGGGTTAAATGCCACCACCTTCATGAGAATTGGACACTGGCAAAACAAATCCATCCCGTCTGTGTACGAGTATGGACACCCACGCGTATGTCCAGCTCGGGTGAGCCTACAGCCACGTCCTCCCATGGGGAAGAACAGGCTGCTGCGTACAATCACACGCAGCACCTGTCCTTCCTGGGAACGGCCCGAACAGGCCATGCACGCCGCCTGGATCTCTACAGGCCGACACTTAGCTGTGTGAATAAGGCCTTAGAGATGCTTACAATGGCCATCAGGTTTACACATGCCTTATTCTTCATTTTCTTTTGGAAAAAAAATCTTTTAACTGCTTAAACAGGAGCTAAAAAAATGTGTCTTAAAAGAACTTCAAAACCATGTGTGCATTGCAGACTACTTGCTATGCATTTTCACTTCAGAATGAACAGAGTTGTCATCCTATTAAAGGAAGTGAAAAATAATTGGTTCCACTGGCAAGATCAATAGGTAATAAAACATTGTTACAGAGGGCACAAAATACAGTGGTAATGCTAGTGACAGATTACATCATATTTCTAATTTTTTATTTTGTCCATAGTGATATTTTCACATCTGGACCCAGAATGCTAGATTTCCTTACATTTACAAATAAATATTTATGTGGAACCCAGAAAAAGCCTACTTAGAGAGAGATGTACTAATTATATATATACAGGTATTCCTCACTTAACGACCGAGTTCCGTTCCTACGACCAGGTCGTTAAACGGATTGGTCGTTAAGTGAGGAACTCTATACAGTACTATACTGCATTAGTACTGTATAGCGTTGCCGATGTACAGTACCGAACAGTGTACTGTACATCCGGCAATGGAAATACTTACCGAGACCTGCAGTGAAGATCGGGGGATGTCACTTCCGCCGGCGACCCGTCGCACTGACGCGGAAGGTCGGAGGTCGATCGGCGGTCCGTCGTAAGTGCGAGTGGTCACAAAACAGGTAAGTCGGTAAGTGAGGAACATCTGTATCCTGTTTTAAAGGTGTCTATTTTAAAAGGTGTCTAGTTTCCCTTGCAGGATCCCATGGAAGCACCCTTGTCTGCTTGTAAACTGTATGTTGCTCAACACAAAGGCAAAGCAAGGCAAGGCACTGCTTCTCCCTCCTCCACGCTTATAGATGTACAGCTGCTGAAGGCTGCTCTACTACTTGTACTAGACAGGAAATTAAGAAAAGTGGAGCTGAAAGAGTTGTCGCAAGCGGTTTGCAACAATGATGACTAAGTGCTTGGACAAAAGAAAAACTCTCCTAGGCAATGTGTTTGATATAGATTCATTACTGGAAAAAAAAGAAGGTTGACCATTTGATACTTCTTTAACCACTTGTCCTAGTCTGCGGTGTTAAACCCCCTTCCCATTCAGCCCATTTTTTAGTATTCAGCGCTCCGGTACTTTGACATTTATTCCGTCATGCAGAGCTGTACTGAAATAAATTTTATACAGTGTTTTGGGTTTAGATAGAGCTTTCTTTTGGTGGTATTTAATCACCACTGCGGGTTTTATTTTTTACTATATTAAGGAAAAATTATTGAAATAAAAAATAAAAAATAAAATAAAAAAAAAAACAGTTTCCCCTATATTAAATGATAAAACATTTATTATTACCCAATTTTTTGGTAAAATATAAAAGACGGGGTCACGTCGGGTAAATAGACACCAAACATGTCAACCCTTAAAATTGCGTGTGCGCGCGAAACCTCAAAAAACTATAATACCCAAAATTGGCCATAGGCGACGCTTTAAGCCCTCGTTCACACCTGACCGTTTTGTAGCGCGTTCTACGCTCGACGAACGCTCTACAAAACGGTCAAAAATATAAATTGCATTGTAGTCAATGGTCTCGTTCCCACCTTGCCGTATTTCCGCCCGTCCCTAACGCCCTACAAAACGGCCCACGTCGTTTTGCTCACGCTGCGACGTTCGTGGCGATATGTAACGTGTGTAGCGCAATTGTTGTTTTTGCGCGCTGATGCACCGGACGCATATTTACGTTTATATGTGGGGGGACTTAAACATTGTGGTGTTTTTTTAAACATTTTTTTAATATGTGACTTTTATTCTTTTTACTTTTTTTTATTTATATATTTATTTTTTGCACTTATTGTTCTTGCTATTTCATAGGGGGATAACAATCCCCCTATATAATAGCACAGTTACACTGACAGGTCCTCTTTATGGAGACATTAGGGGTTTCTAGTCCCTCTTCCTCCTGACGCCCTCCCGAGCCAGTCCTGGGGCGGTCGGCGGCAGCAGACGAGGGGGGGCAAGGGAGATGGGCACACACCAGCACATATACACGATCTGCTGGCTATAGAGCCGCCGATCAGGTATATGTTAAACAGCCAGTAACTGCTCTATGCAATGCACAGGTTTTTTCTGCCCTTGGCGGCGCGCGCAGAAAAAAAAATGCCGTCAACCCGCTAATGCAGCAGTGCCGTCCGACCCTTTTTTTTTCCCCAACGGGCGGACGGCAACTGGTTAAAAGTCACTTAAGACATGACATATTTTATCCAATTTTCCAACCTTTAGCTAACCTCCATTTAGATCTAAGTAAAAGGTTGAAAAATTGGATAAGTACATGGTATGTTATAAGAGTTAACTTTTACAATCGAATACATTGTATTGTTTAATAACATTTGTGTTGTCCTGGATTTCCATAAAGTCTACTTCCAAGATTGCAGTCAAATTTGAGAAACCCCACTATTTGCTTGTTGTGTTCCCATTCACGCATCAGTGGCTGGACTATATAACAGCGTGCAAATAAAAGGGACAGACTTGAGGATCCCCCCCGCTCCCCCCTTCTCAATGCTAGTAGATGAACAGCTGCTGGAGTTGTATTGGACAGGAAGCCTAGTTGAGAGAGTTGGAGCCAGACGTTTGGAAACACAATTACTGTAAATGTTTGGGCAAAAACGTAAAGAAATACTTTGCAGGGCAATGTATACTTGTTTGATCTGGATTCATTTTTGAAAAACAAAAACAAATTGAGAGGTTAATACTACTTTAAGTAAGCCTACATAACAATTTCACAATATTCTAATTCTTACACAAGTCCACTTATAAGCGGTTCTGTTTATTTAGCCGAGGGCAGCGTGACATTATTTATACAAGGTCTGAAAGAGCTAACCCATGCGCCCAATTTCAGGTCATTCATTTGCTTAGGTAATGTCTTACCATAATGGCAAAGAACAGAACACAGATATAGAACTGCATAAGTAATTGCCATTGTATATCCCAGGAGAGAATCAAAACACCCTTTAATTATGGAACATGTTTCTAGGAAACAATCCCCTTCGGAGATAAAAAGGCACTTGTGAGTTTTTCCAGCCTACAGCAAGCACACCATAAAGGCACCTTTTGTGTCAGTGATCATTTAAGTCTACATTACAGGCTTACATGTTAACACTGGGCACATTAAACACTACAGGTACTGTATTGTAATAGACAAAAGATTGCATTGCAACATCTTTTTGTGGCCTGTGCCTGGAAAATGTTCTGGCAGCTACTGATTGAGACCAAAAAAGTAAAAAAAATTATTAGTAATACAATGCATAAATATAGGAGAAGACTTTAGGCTGAACATTACAGAGTGATAGCTGCAGGGCACGCTTAAAATGGTCCTATGAGAACGTCCACAAAGTATTCCTACCATTCTATGCCAAGGAAGACCTTAACTATTCACAAAAATGTTCTTATTTGTGTATCACTTGGCTGTAGATCCTCAAATCATCTCTGATGGTTACTTTACAACACACACAGGGATCATGGAAAACAAAAGTAGCCGCCCTCCAGAAGGAAGGAAAGTATCAGCACCAA